CATAGCTTTGCCTTTTCCAGAATGCCATATAGTGGGAATCATACAGTACATAACCTTTCAAGTTGTCTTCTGAGTAATATGCACTTAAGGTTTCGCCGTGTCTTTTGATGGCTTGATAGCTCATTGCTTTTTAGTGTGAATAATATTCCATTGTCTGGACGGAATATCCATTCACTTTCTGAAGGACATTTTGGTTGCTTCCAAGCTTTGGCAATTATGAGTAAAGCGACTGTAAATATCCATATGCAGGTTTTTGTGTGAACAAAAAGTTTTCAGCTCCTTTGGGTAAATACCAAGGAGCGTGATTTCTGGATTGAGAACCCATTCCGTTTCAAGCCCTTTCCATATTACCAAACAATTTATTCATGTTAGCAATCCTGATTGGTAGATACTTTTATGTCATTGTACAGATGAGGACACTAAAGTCTTCACAAAAATTTTCCCAAGTCACTTAACAATAAGTGGTAGAGTCTAGATTTGAACCTAGATTGGTCTACTGAGAATTCTATGCTGGTGCTAGTACACCATGTTGCTGCCCAGGATCTCAGGATGAACAGCTTTTGGTAAAATCAGATTCCCCAAATTTACAATATTTCTCACACATTAAAACACAATGAAAATGTTATAAACAAGCAGAAAGTTCTAACTTCAAAGCTAAATCATGCCTGCAAACTCACAAGGGGATTAAAGAAAGGAAATTAAGTTAATTTGCTTTTTTAAAGAATAAATAATAAATGTCGATGGCTGTGTTAATATTATTTGTCTTTGAAAGCTTAGTCCAGTAGTTTCCTTGGATATGAATTTCAAGTTGCAATATCTTCCTCTATCACGTAATTTTCATGCTATCTGAAAAGTTCATACCCATCATTCAGAGCTGCATTTCCCCCTCCTAAAATGATTTCATGTGTAAGATTTAATCTTTTATTTCTGGTTTATTGTCCTTAAGTAATAATTTGTCTCTACATCCAATTTGAACATTCTGTGTTCTTTCCCAAATGTGTATTTAAGACAGATTTTAAAGATTTAATAAAAGCTTCTGGTAATCTAAACATAAGAAATATGTGTTGGGAACTTCCCTGGTGGTGCAGTGGTTAAGAATCTGCCTGCCAATGCAGGGGACACGGGTTCGATCCCTGGTCCAGAAATATCCCACATGCCGCGGAGCAACTAAGCCCGTGAGCCACAACTACTGAGCCCATGCGCCACAGCTACTGAAGCCTGCACGCCCTAGAGCCCACGCACCACAACTAGTGGGGTCCGCGTGCCACAACTACCAAGCCCGCGTGCTGCAGCTACTGAAACCTGCATGCTTAGAGCCCAGGCTCTGCAATAAGAGAAGCTACGGCAATGAGAAGCCCACACACTGCAGCAAAGAGTAGCCCCCACTCACTGCAACTAGAGAAAGCCCACACACAGCAGCAAAGACCCAACGTAGCCAAAAAATTAAAATTTAAAAATTAAAAAAAAATATATATATATAAAGAAATATGTGTTATATGGTCATTGGCTTTCAGAATGAAAGTCTTGTGCAGCACACTCCAGGATGGAATAGCCTGTCAAGAAAGAAATTCTTTGGAATTGAAAGTGTATCTGACTCCAGAAAGAGGTCATTTGAGTCTCTTCTTTATATGGACCTCTCTCTGAACTTTGGTTTACAGCAAAGTAAATCTCTGCTAGCCTACAGCTGTGATGGTGCCCAGCACATCCAAATGCTCCATAAACTCCAACTCCATAAACTCTTTCCACCCTGGCAACTGCATGTAGGTTTCAATGCCAAAAGAATGGCTCATGATTTAAATCCAGGTTTCTCAGCCTCAGCACTAGAGCCACTCTGGGCTGGATAATTCTTTGCCGTGGGGGGTGTCCTGTGCATTGTAGGATATTTTGCAGCATCCCTGTTCTCTGCCCACTAGATGCCAAGAGCACACCTCCACCCTTATTTGTGACAACCAAAAATGTCTTCAGACATTCCCAAATGTCCCCTGGGGAGGTGGCTGTGGGAATCTCCATTGGTTGAGAACCACCAATCTAAATGAAAGGAATGGGGTCACTGAGACTGGGAAAAATCCATGAGAGGTGGGAGAGGAATGAGCATGGTGTGCATGGGAGACAACAAGAAAGCTAGAGAAAAAGAGGTGGAATGAACAGGATACGGTGAGAATGTGGATACACTGTGTATAAAGATCAAGGAAGCAATAGTGCCTATATTGTAATAACGATTGTTACGTTGGAATGTGGAATGCCAACTGAATTGGATTTGGGGATGTACGTAAATGCTATTAGGGAAGAGATTAGTACAAGGATAGTAATTATAAAAATTGATATTTTTAAGGAAATTACTATTCTAAGCAAGAGTTTAACAAATTCAGATTAGGACTTTCAGTTTTCTGAGTAATGAGGGTTAGAGTTAATTTTTGTAACTTATTGGTTTATTGGTAGTCAGAGCTTCCTGAGCAAGCACTGGCATGGGTGTGGGTTGAAGATACAGATCTTCGTACTTGATTCCAAACTATAGTAAACTTTTCCAGGGCAGCTACAGGTTCTATGAGGGTCTCGACACACACACACACACACACACACACACACACACACACTTCTGTATTATACATAATTCATACTAAAACCACAGTGTCCATTTTTGGGGGTAGGAAATTTAAAGATAAACAGTCAAATCCATTTATTTGGTATCATAATACCAGTGGTTTCTAATCCTGACTTCATATGAAAGTCATTGAAGAACTCTTAAAAAACACTGATACCTTGGCCCTGTGCCCAAGAGATTCTGGCCATCCAATATAGCAATGGGGCCTGAACACTGATAACTTTTTTTAAAGCTCTCCAGGTGATGGTACAGTGAGAATCACTGATAGAGCCCCAGTCCTTAGGACTTTTACAAAGTAACTGGAATGATAAGATTGACTAATTATAGGGACTAGCAAACAATCCAAGACAATGCATGATCAATTATCCAATTGTACGTTAGGTTTGACAGGTGTCATGGACTTTTTGGCAAGAGAAAAATCAGTGGCAAAAATGGAAAAAGTCATATTAAGTTGTTGTTGATTCTTTGTTGATGAAACCAGAAAGGTCGTCTTATTGGGGGTGAATAAATGGGTGCGCTTGGCCTTTTGTCCTGCTGAGTTCTTTGCGTGTTATATTGTCCTTCTCACCAGTCACTCAGAGCATGTAAACAGTCTTCTGTTATAAATCTCCTAGAAGAGGTGTGGTTATGACAGACACTGAAAACAATGAGATGGACAACAGAGAACAATTTGGCAATAGCTCCTGAGTCCTGGGCCTGGAAAACGTTTGCAGGGAAATAAAGAGGATGGGTTTCACTTTAAACTAGGGACAAACATATGCAAGATGTCCCCAGGAGACTGTGGAGGAAATTTCAGAAAGAGAAACAAGGAAGTCTGTTATCACCTTGCAGTGACATAGCAGAAAGCCTTGTAGCAAGTAACTAGATAAATTAGACTTTCAGTCAGCTCACATTAAGGCCCTTCCAGAATGGCATTTGATCTATTCGATAGTGTGTCTGGCCTCCCTTAGAAATGTCAGAGGTAGGACAGAGTAATTAGAATAATAGAGTGGGCATTTATTTGGGGTCATATCATGTGGTTCCAGTATTAGCTCTTTATCCACACCAGATGGCCAGATGTTAAACACCAAAGAATAAATAAGTAATCTTACTTATTAACTGAAGAATATAACGGACTTGAGGAAGAGCTTTCTTCTAATATTTTTAACTTTTAAAAGTATGAGAATCAAAGAAGTTCTACCTAAATAAATCCAATATTTTGTAAACATAAGTAATAGTACAAAGCTTAATCTTCTTCAAAATTCAATACTGTCTCAAGGTCAGAAGTTTTCCTTAAAATTAGGAATGAAGGAATTCACATGCTGTACTGTTTTCCCATGAAAAACAAATATTCCATTTCATTCCTGCATAGAGGGATGAATAAGCAGACCATATGTCTACAGCAACGGTGGACCCAAACCACACTGGGTCAAGACACCTGTTCTGTATTTTGTGTTGAGGAAGATTTGCACAATGATGGGGAAGGAAGAAAAGAGGGGGCTCCAAAGAGGGCTCCTTGCCGCTTTCTAAAGCAACTTCTGTGAAACCACTGGGCCCGCATCCCAGAATCTTGAGCCCATCTTCCATGATAACAGTTAGAGGAAGAGCACACATCTTCATGTTTCCATGGAGAATCCAGAATATTAATTTAGCCAACAGTTTCCACTTATCAAGAACAGCTGGCAAAAAACGAAATTATTTCATAAGTTTCTTGTTTTTCTACTCCTTTCTTATTAAAGGGACCAGTGAGAATGTTAACAGGTAGACTGAAGGAGATGGGGGAGGGGTGTCAATGAAGGCCATGCCCCTGATTGATCATCTCCTAAATAATTGAAAATTAGTAAGTGTTTAAGTACCTGCTTCACACTGAAATAGAAAAACATTCAATTAAGAGCCAGGAGACTTAGATTCTGATTGGATTCTTTTAGTCAAAAGCAGAAGTCCAAAGAACAATAATTACAAATGACTGAGTTTGTATTATGTCAGGCTCTGTACTATGCACTGTACATAAACTGCTGTTTCGTTGCATTCACATCACTCATCTAAAGTCAGTGTCGTTACATCCATTTAACAGATGTGGAGAGTAAGGCCTAAACTTTCCTGAGGTTGCACAACAGAAAACTGGACCTCAGTTTTCTTGACTGAAAAGAGAGGGATTTGTTTTTTTCCTTTTTTCCATTTACAGACATCATTACTTAGCATCTACTTATGCCAAGTAGTCTGCTGGCTTCCAGAGCTGTGATTGAACAAGCTAGCTGTGGCCCTGTCCACAGAGAGCCCAGTCTGCTGGGCTGGAGCATCTTCAGGGACCTCCCAGTTCTGTAATCAGAGCGTCTACTCCCAGTTTCTTGCCAGTGGCTGAACTGAATGTGTGTCTCCTCCGGGTGGTCTTCTCTGACATGTCCATGTGTGTCTGCAGGTGGTGGGCAGGGGAGTGGGAAGCATGTTCGGCGACATGTGGGCCCCATGGAGAGAAGAAGCGAACAGTGCTGTGCATCCAGACCGTGGGCTCTGATGAGCAGCAGGCTCTCCCGGCTCAAGACTGCCAGCACCTGCTGAAGCCCAAGACCCTCACATCCTGCAACAGAGACGTCTTGTGTCCATCGGACTGGACAGTGGGCAACTGGAGTCAGGTGAGCTCAGGGGTCAAAAGGAAGGCCAGCGTTACTCATGCTTCATCAGCCCCCCACCCAGTCCTCTTTATTAACTAATCCAAAGGGACCTGGGGTAAAAGTGCACAATGGCCAGCGTTTATAACCTCTGGCCTACTTCCTGCATTTCCCACCTCCCAGTATCCTATCGTGCTTGTTTTCCATTCTCACAGAATCTTCCTCTCACCTGCCCAGTGGTCAAATACCCACCAGGGATGAGCTGGATCTTGCTCGCTCAGACTCACGACAGATAATTGAAAAACCCTCAGGATTTTTGCTGGCCCATTATTAAACCATTGGTAGCAAATCAGGGCTCCCCCACCTACCCCAAGAGTTGGTTTGTCAAACATTTACTGGTAGTTATGCTTCATACTAAAAAACGAAAGGTGGGTCACTCTAGTTGGCATGATAGACAGTACTTGGAGAAGCCCCTCACATCATCCATCTATTCAATCCTGATCAAGGTTTAGGACATGTAATAGTATTAGCCACATAAATTCAAATAGTGTTGCATTTCCCCAAGATTAATCTGATCTAATTCTCTGCATATAATTAGAAATTCATGGGCTAGGAGGTCACGAAAGACTCCCAGGCTTTAATTTTCTTTGGGTCACCATGGGACCCGGAACTATCAGGCCTTGTGCCCCCAGAGTCTGTAGTAGACGTAGGCCTCTGCTTTCTCCAAGGGTGCTGGAGTCTCCAGGGGCCTTGCTCTGCTTCCCTATGCATAGTTCAGTCAGTTACCTAAGGAATGACTAGAAAATCAATGATTTTGTAAAACCAACAGGCCAGAATTTATCGATGGATGCTGACTTCTTATGAGCTTCCTTGGGAAGCCACATGGTCTCCACAATAATGCTACCATTGACCAGAGTCTTAGGAATTCCTCTTAGACTCACCTTCAGAGAAATGGAGAATATTTGATTCAGGAGAATGCCACAGAAATTAGAATTAAGTCTGACGGACAAAGGGGTAATCGGATCCATTTGGATAAAACCTTTGTTGTTTAAAGTGATACTTGATTATAAATAAATGCAATTGCTTTTCATAGCTTATAAAGTATTATCTAAAGAAGAATTCAAAATTTTGTATAAGCAAAGGTTCCATTTCTAAAGATAACTATTTGAAAGCGGAAAGCACTCATTTGAATACAGCCATTTTGATAACCTTATTTCCAAAACTATTTCATTAGCTCAGAGTCACAGTTTAGGTTTATTTAGTTTCTAATTCTGTACAGAATATTCTCTGGAGCACCTGGGTGAAAATAAAAAAGATATGGTCCCTTTATTCTAAGAACTTATCAAATGGGAGAGCTAATACCCCAAGAAAGAAAAGACAAAGGTATACATGTAAAGAAAACATACCTACAACCTAATACAGGCGTGTTACTGATGCATGTGCACACATCAGTAATAGGCCAGAATATCCCCCCTGCTGTTCCTGGACGGTACAGTCACAGCCTGTGGCTGGCCTGACCTATTAGTCCACTGCCAACCTCGATTGCCCGTAAATTACAGTGTTGTTCAAAATAAGGCTGAATGGGGTATTGTGACTGGTCCATTAAATCTGTTTACCAAAAGTGCGTTGGCTGCATCCAAAGCAGTTAATAATTTTTGTCATGTAGAATTTACTAATTGCCAGAACCTTCATGTGTTTTCAAAGGACTGCAATTACACATTTGGCTGAGGAATTCTTTTCATTGTGTTTGTGTTTCTGGGGAGCAAAGTGATGTGCCTAACTGGAGAACAAGGGCCTGAAAAGTTGGCACGATGTGACAAGTACTCAAGTCTGTTGTTCCAAATAGAGGCCACTGCATAGTATAGTGACAGCAGACATGGAATACAGTTTCCAGCGTCCACAGAGAGGCTGAACCACTGCCTTCATTCAAGAGATGTTGTCAAGAGAGGTGCTTTTAGTTAAATCAGCATCAAAATATTCATCGAATGGGTCTTCCTTTCTTCCCTTTGGTGTCTTGCTAATGTCTGTACACATCAGCCCTCTAATGAGCTTTGCTGAAATATGCTGAATGTCTTTGACATTCTATGCTGGGATACTTTTTTAAGAGATGATATAGTGATTCTTGCTACACATAGTATTTATGGTCTGGATTTTGTCTTGAGATCAACACTAATTGATGAAAAGTAGTGTTCCAGCAATACCTGATCACTTGGTCTGTACTGGGCTATTTGGGTCACTCTGGATGAGTCTAAAGCTATCATGTAACTGGGTCAAAAGACCCAAGAACTGTGAGACTCCTAGAATCCTGTAGAATTGTCCTCCCTGGGCTGACCAAGGTGGAAAGCAGAAGAGGGAAATCCATGAGCTGCCCTTCCCTGTCAAGGTTTTCCAGCTCTGGCAAGCTCTAACTGAGCTAGTGTTAAACCTCTCCCAGCCTTTACTCATTTAGAAAGACAGAGTTATTGTGAGGTTTGATGATAATCCATGTGAGCCCTTCACATAGTGCCTAGCAAATAGTAAGCGTTCACTAAATAGAAACTTTATTATCAGGCAAGAAGACAAGGGTCTGTTTTCCACGCTACTCTAATTTTGTAAGTCTTGTCCAGTCAGTGGCACCCAAGTCCCCCGACAGAATTGATCGGTGGCCCCTGCATTTTCATCTAACTCCCTCCCTGAGCTCAGGGCCATTTTAGGTGGGGAGCATAGTGAGCACAGGGCTTAGAGCCTGCAAGTTTTTCATGGGCCTACAAAAATGTTTGAGACCTGAGGGGGGAGAAAACAAAACAAAACTAATGTATTGTTCCAGTAAAGCAAAGGACACTGCAAAATCAGAAATCAATATCAAATTACATATTAAAAGCAAAGAATTATCATACATTTAGTATGTATATTAAGCACCTTTATAGGTATTACCACAATATCTCACAATGGCCTGATTAGCCCCATTTTACTGGTGAAGGAACTGAGGCATTAGAGATACTTAGAAATTTGTCCAAGGTCGCACAGCCTCCAAGTGATGAAGCTAGGGTTTGAAGGCAGGCAGCAGCGCTTTTACTCTGAACACTATGACATAAAGCATCTCAGAAGTCTGCAAAATGTAACAGTTTGACAGCTCTCAGTATTCATAAAAAATGTATTATGTTTGGAAACAATTTGTAGATCGGCTTTTCTCACTTTGCTGGAATTCCAGACTATGCATTAATTATTGCTGAGAAATGAGAGCCGCTCATAAATTAAATGAGTTGGCCTCACCAAATATTTTCAAAAGCAAAAGAATAAAAAGCCTTTCAAATTGTTTTTACAGAAGAAGATTATATTTCACTTGAAACTAGAGATGCTTTATAATATATTTGATGGGCTGTAGGGTGGAACCTCTGAAAGCAGACCTGCCCGGGGGTCTGCAAAGATCTTTAATCCACCCTTTTTGTGCCTGACCAAAGCACACAAACAAACAAATGAACAATGCAATTAATTTGCCCAGCTACTAAGAATGTATTAAGTGCAAAGCTGTTCACTCGGGTGTTGGCTTGCATAAGTGACCAGATAGATTAAATGTTTCACAAACAAGCTCTTCTGACTCTTCAAACAGAAGGCATTTCAGCAAGCGCCAATGGCTTATCTATAGCTAAATGAAAAGCAAAACAAACAGGCAGACAAAATTCATGTGAAGGCCATAGGAGTTCCTGCAAACTGAAGGGAGACAGAGCATGGAAGGTGAGGAGACATCGCTGAGTCGCTTACCCTCAGTATTGCCTAGTTTCATTCAAGGTCCAGGACACTCTTGTGAGGCTGGACACCTGATGCTTTAGCCTCCACCGCCTGCTCTTTTGGCATGGGACCTCTGCAAGTGCCAGCATCTCAGTCCTTCCCAGATGTCAGCAGCCCATGCTTTGCCAGGTTTCCTGGAAAACACATGTGAGCACCCTTGTCTGAAACAGCTACTCACAGAAAACCAATCTGTAGCCATGCTGATTCTCTGCATCATGTCTGATTTGTTTTTAATTATCTAGAGTACTCATTTAATTATCTAGAGTATTCATTTGCTAGGGCTGCCATAACAAAGTACTACAAACTGGGTATCTTAAGCAATAGACATGTATTATCTCACCATTTTTGTCATGTTGACTGAAAATAATGCACAACCTAAAAGTCCAGAGTTATGTTTTATTTGGTGGACAAAACTGAGGCATTAAGCCTGGGACACGGCCTCTCAGATAGCTCTGAGGGACTGCTCCAAAGAGGTAAGGGGCGAGCCAGGATATATAAGGTTTGTTTGTTTCTTTTAATTTTTATTGGAGTATAGTTGATTTACTATGTTGTACAAAACAGAAATAGAGTCACAGATGTAGAAAACAAACTTATGGTTACCAAGGGGGAAAGGGGGAGGGATAAACTGGGAGACTGGGATTGACATATATAGGAGTTTTTGTGACGAAGACCAGGTAGTTGGAACATCTAAAGATTACCGTTAATTAAAGAAAACCAGATATCTCAAGTTAAGGAATTTAGCACTTTTCTATGTATGGGAAGATGCAAGAGTCTGGGCTCACTGAAATCATGCCTTTGATATGCACCTCAGCTATCTCAGGCCAGGATCCTATTCTTCCCCATCCTGAGTCCCCTCAGGGCTCACCATCAGAGGCTGTAGTGGCTTGACGGCTGCAACATCCTTTGTTTACTGATATGGCAGGCAACATTTTTCATTCACAGCAACCAGAAGTCCAAGATCAAGGTGTGGGCAGAGTTTGCTCCTTCTGAGGGCTGTGAGGGAGAATCTTTTCCATGCTTTTCTCCTAACCCCCAGTGCTTTGCTCAGAATCTTTGGTGTTTCTTGGCTTGTAGAGGCATCACCTTCATCTCTGCTTTCATCTTCACGTGGCATTGTCTCTATATGTGTGTCTCTGTATCCAAATTTACCCTTTCCATGAGGACAATGGTCAGTTTGGATTAGGGCCCAACCTAGTGACCTCATTTTAACTTGATTACCTCTGTAAAAACCCCATCTCCAAATAAGACCACATTCTGACATACGAGTGAAGAGGGTGAGCAGGAGCTAGAACTCTAGTATATCTTGTTTGGAGGGAACACAATTCAGCCAATAACAGGTGCCTAAGGGTTTTAGCTTACTTTCAAAATGGTTTTAGTATGAGGTCCAATCATTCATTTATAAATTCCTGAGACTATGCATTAAATGTTTTTATGCCCAAAGCTTTAGCTGTTTCCCTGCTCATCCCTTTAACCCAAGCTCTCTGAGAAACCTCTACTGTGGTTTTGAATAAACTCTCTCTTAGCACTACAGCTCTGAGCCAACTGCCCCCCCCCCGCCCACTGCACAGTGCACCTTGGATGGGTGGAGTTGACTAATTTAGCAGCAGACCTCTTTCTCAGCGGGCTCCCCCCAGAGACCTTAATCTAAGATTGATGGCAAATGAGGGCAAGATAACTCCCAGGGAGGACATTAACAGATTGACAAGCTATTTGCCTGGTACTGGGGTCAAAATTATAAGGTAAGCAGGTAAGGTAATCATAGCGGAAATTGGTTTTGAGAATCCTGAAACTACCAGTTGAGATGAGTTCTAAGTGTGGCTTTGTGTCCTGCATTTATCTCATCTGAAGGGTTCAACAGCTTCTAAGGAGATAAACACAGTTGGAAGATGTACTGGAAGAAGCGTGGGCTGAAGGCACAACAACACTGCTTGTTCTGCTGTGACTATGAGAAAAGGCAACTGAGTTTTTAGGCCCAATATACTTGGTAGATAGTTAACACTGACTCTCTCACTGGGCACGATATGCCCCAATGTGAAGGAATGGCATCCATCGATTATTTGAAAGATTCCGTGTCTCCTGAGTAAGGAAAGCAGATGGGGATGAATGGTGGGTGGAAAACATATAAACTCTCCCAGACCCAGGTATCATTTCATGAAGTTTTGAATTGCCATTTGGGAATGGGGCGATAGTTACAGATCATCTGCTTTTTCTAGAGAAGCTAAAAACCTGGAGTTTTAAAATGATATCTGCTCATTTTTAAATGTCGGCCGCTAATTTGGTGTTTGTATTTTGTTTGTTTGCTTGTTTGTTTTGAAGTTGAGCAGACCAAAGAATACATGCCAGTGGGCCACATGTAGAACTTAGGCTGCCACTTTGGCGTTTCTGTTCTAGAATAATCTTCTGTTTTGAAAGATCAAAAGCCAATGTATTTTAATTAAGCAACCACCTAGATAGTGATTATTTACTCCTGCTTTATTCTTTTAGGCTGAACAAGTTCACAGTGAATAAGATTATTTAATACTTGTAATTTGTAAATTAAAAGTAAAAAACGTATCCATCTATTAGTCCTAGGAAACCTGAATCTAAAAGAAAATCCAGCAATAAACCCATGGGGTATATGGGCCTTTACAGGTGTCTTCTAGACTTGTGACAACAACTGCTTTACTCAGACACCTGCTCACTTCACAGCACGCCCTAAGACAGGTCCGTGCATCACTCTGTGCTTCACAAGGATAGTAGAAATTGGGGGCCCCCATGCCCTTTGTTATTATTATTACTATTGTTATTATCAGCATCAATATTATAACAGTGATAATAATAGCTTCCAATTCCCAATTTCTTCTATATATTATGTACTATGTTAAGGTTGTTTTCTTATATAATATTCACAGCAGCCTTGAAAGATGAGTATTACTTTCAATTTCTAGATGAGGAAGCTCTGAGGCTTAGTCCCTGCATCATGCATGGAGTTCATAATGGCATCTTGAGGGCTTTAAGCTATTTCTTACAGGTTTTATAGCTCTTTTACTTCATAGTTCAACGTGGGGGGGAGGGCACACATCCATATATTTTTGGATTTTTAGAAATGCTTGTAAAGTTGTACAGTAAAGTCTGTGGGTATTAGGGGCATTGCAAATCAAAATAAACAAAAAAAAGGGAATGAAAAGAAAGAAAAGAAAAATCAAAGAGTTTCCTACTATGAGCTTTGTCTAATCTGACATTTCTTGGAAAGAAAACCCAAAGCAGAGTACACCTGCGGCTTGAGAATAGTTGGCATTAGTGCTAGCAGGGTCCTCATTTATGAATCACCTCTTGATCAGAGCCTACCTGAGGTTGCCATCGTGGAAATATGTTCAGACATACATGGAGGATTATTTGGTTAGACTGATACATTTTTACGAAGTGGAGATTTGAAAACCCTAGGAGATGGGATCAGAATGTAACAAGTGGAGAAGTGACTCAGGATGACTAAAATGGATGGAGTATAAAGTGTCTCCATACACAAGAAGAGCAGAAATATTGTAGTAAACCAGGAAAATAAATACCCCCAGCCTGCCTGTCCCAGGCTCCAAAGTGAAGTGAGTCATGGAAAGTGCTGGAAGAAACCATTTCCTCACCGCTGGGCTCTGAGAGCTTTAGCTGGTAGTCTCCACGTGGTTGGAAATAAGTGTACATTTCTTGGTCCATAAAGCACTGTTCCCACCAAAGATTAATATTATATCAGAGTGTGGAAGTTCAGTCTTAGAGCTGGGCATCTGAGTGTTTGTTGACATCTTAAACTCACAGCTTTATTGGTTGACCCCAAGCCTGCAGTTGAACATTCCCTGAGCTGCACAGTCTTCTGTGCTCACATGTCTCTCCTGCTTTTCAAAGATGCTGATTTCAACAGAGCTATCATACATCAGTGAGTGATTATGCTGGATTGGAGCAAAATAAAGGGGGAAGTTATTTTCCAATACAGAGGAAATTGAAAACAGGACTTGAGAAGGCAAGAAATTCAAGCTGAAAAATGCATAAGTTCACGGGGAGAAGAATTTTCCCATTCCTGATTATTTTCCAAGTAGAACAGTCATGTAATAAATATGTAGTAAGTGATCATTGTATCCCAAGAACTATCCTGGAATTCAGTCATGGATAAGACACAGTTTCTGCCTTTGGGTAAATTTTCAGAAATCAAAAGTTTGGTTAAGTCAATAAGTAAATTCAGTAGACAAACTGCTTTCCACTGTGCTGTGCTAGGGTTTTTTTGGTCGGTGGGGAGGGGCATGGAATTAATCTAATTCTTACTCTGCCACTGACTTACAGCCTTTCAAGCAGGTTCCTGGGTGTCAGCTTCCTCTCTTGTAAGAGATGGGATAATAATTCCAGCCTTGTAAATCTCACAGCCCTATAAATCTCACAGGGCTCATATTCACAGGGTATTACACAGAATAATGGCTGTGAAGCCCTTTGAAATCCAGGAAACATTATGTAGTCCCCATCTTCAAGAAACCTACTTTAGGGTCAGAGATGTAAGACAGACGAATGCGAAACAGACAGCACAGACTCCTGGACAGTCCATGTTCAAGAACCAATATTTGGTGGTTAACTTAAAATGTCATTGGAAAGAAAGGCTAAAAATGGAGCAGTTTGGTAAAAATACGGATTTTTTTTCAAAATATCGAGAAATTTAGTGTCATGTAGCAACTCTGTGTGGTTTGCAGCTGCTAAGACTGATGACATAGTCTTCACCATGAATCCTGAGAAATGACTGTCCTGTTAGGTTTCCCCCGAAGGCAGTCTAGCTGCCTGTGCCCTACAGAGCCTGGAGGGACCACTAGGGAGGGGGACCTGCCACGGCGTCCATGTGTGTATCAGCGCCATGCTACAGGACTCCCCTAACTCTTTGGAAATGGTATCTCCCCACCTTTGGTTAACTACCCATCTTTAAATTTCATAAAAGGTCCTGGATCTGTATACGTGTGTGAGTATGTTATTGTCTAGTTTTTTTAATCTGAGTCCATCTGACACAGGCAAGAAAATGGAGCTTAGGATGCCTGAGTGAGGCTATGTGGCTATATGGATATAAAGGGGAAGGCTCATATCATTAAATTAATAGATTCCAAAAAATACGTAAACAGTTTACATTAATCTAGTAGCATCAAACCCTAGGGAAGATAATATTACTATCTCTTTGTAAAAATTAGGTGATCTGTTTAAATCATTGCACTCTTTGTGGATCTACTATCCAACAGTCATAGCCCAGGGAGACTTCAGTTTTACTATTTCATGGTTTGCATTTTCAGTTTGCGAAGGGTAAATGGTCAGACCTGAGCCTTAGGTGGTCTCCCGGAGATACATATTTCGGTGGTCTCCCGGAGATACATATTTCGGTGGGAAACTAAAATTGCACAGAAACCTTATACAAAGATAGAGAACGATTTTAGCTGCACAGTTCAGTTTCTACTGGGCCTGTCCCGATTTGCCGTAAACCTTAGCATGAGAACCAACATATCTTCCCACCAAACTAGACTAACAGCCGTCTCTCCTTTCCAGTGTTCTGTTTCCTGTGGTGGCGGAGTGCGGATTCGCAGTGTCACGTGTGCCAAGAACCACAATGAGCCCTGCGATGTGACAAGGAAACCCAATAGCCGAGCTCTATGTGGCCTCCAGCAATGCCCATCTAGCCGGAGAATTCTAAAACCCAACAGAGGCACGATCTCCAATGGGAAAAAGCTACCAACAACTGACCCCTTCAAGCCCATCCCTCCAACTACACCCAGTCCTAGGGTGCTGACTACACCCAGTCCTAGGATGCTGACTACGCCCACAGTGCCTGAGCCTATGAGCACAAGTGCTCTGACGATTAACAGCCCTGGTCCTACCACAGCCTCCAAAGAAGGAGACCTGGATGGGAAACAGTGGCAGAATAGTTCAACCCAAACTGAACTGGGCTCCCATTATGTCATTTCCACTGGAAGTACTTCCCAGCCCATCCTCAATTCCTGGTCTTTGAGTACCCAGCCAAATGAAGAGAATGTTTCCAATCCAGACACTGGGCCTATCTCAGAGGGAGACCTTGTAGTCACAACGATGAGTGGTTCTGATTTGTCAACTTCCAGCAATCCTGTGACATGGCAGGTGACTCCATTTTATATTCCCTTGACCAAAGAGCCAGAAATGGAGATTCATAGTGGCTCAGGGGAAGACCGTGAACAACCTGAGAATAAAGATGAGAACAACTCTGTGACATGGACCCAGATCAGAGTACCTGGAAGTGATGCTCCAGTGGAGAAAAGTACAGAAATGCCACTTGGACCTCCACCAACACCTTATCTTAGAGGGGCATCCCTGTGGCCACCCTTCAGCACAGTGTCAGAAGGACTGGTGCCCAGCCAAAGGCCCACCACTCTCAAAAATGGTGCACCCAGAGCTGAGGGGATGGTCACTGAAAAGCCAGCTAACACTCCACTCCCTCTAGGAGGAGACCACCAGCCAGCATACTCAGAAAAGCCAGTAAACCATCACCCCCGAGAACTTCCAAGCAACATGAATCTAACACAGAGTTCCGGACCAGTCCTGACCGAGGAAGATGCAACAAGTCTGATTGCTGAAGGTTTTTTGCTGAATGCCTCGGATTACAAGCAGCTCTCAACGGGCCGCAGCCCTGTGTACTGGACTGTTGGAAACTGGAGTAAGGTAGGAGTTCTATTTCTTACCCAGGCCTGATTCTATATGGAAATTAGCTAGGGGTGTTGCATTCCTGTGCAAATTTCAAAATGGACTTGTGTAAAACATAGTCTAATGTACAAAAAAGTGAAGCAATCAGGTCCATGCCCTCACCTCCCTCTTCACCTCCTTAACTCCAAAAATGAAAGAAAAAAAAAAAATCCAGGGAAGGAGAACAAATGTAGTGAGATATAGTGAAAAGAACCTAGAACTAAATCAGGAGACCTGAGTCAGCCAGCTGTGTGACAGTGGAGAATTCAGTCTGTCTCTCTGAGCCTGCTTTTGATCTACAGAACAGTGGAACTAGTGTAGATCACCGCTCCTCTCCAGTGTCCCTTCCAGGCTACAAACTGTAATGATGCTGTGGGACCATAAGAGGGACCATTGGAAGGACCTGGGTTCATATTTCATTCAGAAAGCCAGTGTTGAGACTCTGGTTTAACCTGTCAAGCAATCACAATTGGAATGGAAATTTAAGACAAATTTCTTTAAAAGAATTCTATAGCTCACTGTATCAAGCATTTCTTTTCTTTTTGGACTCAGTGTTTGCCTGCATTAAAAAAAAAATTCTTTTTGGATTATTAAAAGGATTAGAAGATAGAGGAAGAAGAAAATAAACATGATGACAAAGTGTTGGTCCCTGTTTTCAGGTTTGAGGAAATTGGCTAGATATTTGTTTCTTCATTTCTAGAACTAATTACATCCTCTGAAGCATCAAAATCATTTCTCACCCACTTGAATTTCAAATGCACAGTATTTGAACTTGTTAAAAATAACTTGACAATGCAAAAGAGGACTTTGTGGCAAAATGATCACATGTTGATGTCATTCAGCATTTTTGATGACAATCCATGACTCGTCTCTCTAGCTAAAAAGAAGTGTTAACAGCTAATATAAAATAACAATATATTTCATTTATGAAGCATGTTAATTTCCAAACCACTTCCATATGCAGTCTACTATTTTCTCTTTTTGACAGTCCTGGGGAGTAGGTAGGGTCTTGTTTATACCAATTTATGTAGAGAAAAACTAAGATTTTTAACAGTTAAGTAACTTGTCTATGGACATGTCCGTTGGATGATGAATCTTCTAAATCTTACTGCTCTTATCTGCCGTCTCTGTAGTGAATTTCAGTACCAATCGACAATTTAGCTATATAAAATTCTTTTGTATGAATTAATCAGCATCACTGGTCCTGAAATTGACTATAGTGGCAAAAAAAAAAAATAGGTATATTCAAACTTCCAAATTTTTTTGTTTGCATTTGAACTATGTTTCACATTGATTTACTTAAATTCTAAAGTGAAATCACATTCATTTCATTTTCTGTCAATGGAGGGGCATCTTATTATCCCCATTTGGAAGTAAAGAATCCAGGTTCAGGAGGAGAAAAGATTTTCATGCTTAGCAGTAATCCAATTTGTTGAAAAAAAGGAGAGGAGTGGGTCTCATGATCCCTGACATTTTAGTCAGGTTTCTTTCCATTAGGAAAGTCCTAATGGGCTCTTAATGATGAGGAGTATGTTGACAATGAACATCTATAAAGTGTGTGCCATGCTTTACAGCATGATTTTATGCTAATTCACATGCATTCATGTGAATGCAGGAATTCTCACCACAGCCCAAGGAGACTGGTAATATTGCCCCCCATTGTAGAGATAAGGAAACTGGAGCTGAAAGGTAAAGTAGCTAGCCAGAATCACACACACTCATGAGTGACACAGCAGGGATTTGAACCCAAGCAGACAGACTTCATAGCCTATGATCCATTGCTTTGCAAATTAGAAAACATCACCACTCTCTCTACCTTCTGCTATTTTTGTTTCTTCTTTGGTCATATGACAAAAAAACAATGCCAGTTATGTGGTGACCCTGGGTAGACAGATGAGAAAATCACATAGTTCACAAGAAGGTACTTAAAATAACATTGAGGGCTCCATGGTTACTTTTGAGTTCACAGGGGCAAATGGTGCCTATAATGTCACTGCAGTGGGTTCAGCCTAGATATTTTGAAATAAAAATGTTCTGTTTAGGTTTTATGAATGATATCCTTTTAAGTAGTACCACCCAAAGGTATCTTTCTTTCCGAAAGCATGGGGCTTCCCTTAAGGACAGATAAATAGGCTTATTGTTCTGCATCCAAGAAAGCAGTCTGGACAGTGTGTCCATACTCAAAGACAGAACAAGTTATGGAAACTGAGGCTACTAGTTAATTTGTAGGATTTTGTTAATTAGCCAATGGAGATGAAGTCTGAAAGTATCTACCATTAAAGACACTGTGGGCCTTGAGAAGAATACAAGCTAGGTCAAACAGAGTGTGAAAGTGCAGATGATAAAAGGCATATATATGGGATCAGTATCAGAATAAAGTATGAATGACATGTGTACAGTATGTGTATGTAATTAGAAATCATACACACACACAGAGGCTGGGCTGTCGTTAACAAATAGAGCCAAACAAGTTATGGTTCGCCAGAAATTGATTTCTCACTCAGCATAATAATACAAGGGGATTCCATGTCTGCAATGGTGGTAGTAGAAAATGATGCTGGGATTCCAGGCTGACAATGGCTCTGCCATCCTCCCGTCTCCAAATTTGCCCTGGGGTCACCATCCTAGTCACAGTCAGAAAGGGAAAAGAGCACAGAGGCACTCCCATGGGAGGTTTTATGGGCCAAGCCTAGAAGGGGCACTTAACAATTCTGCTCACATTCCATTGTGTAGAACTCAGTCATATGACCAAACCAAACAGCAAGGTGGATGGAAAATGTGATCTAATTGTATATCCAGGAAGAAGAGGAGAAAGGATTGTACTGAGTATCTAGCAGTCTCTGCCACTGAATGACATGTCCCACTGTGTGTTTTAGGTAGCTCATTCTGGAAGCAGTGAGGATGAGGGATTTGACCTGTTGGGAGGATACTGCAGTAGTCCAGATTAGGAATGAGAACGAGGACAAGAATGCTTGGGATGTTTTTGTGCCAGTACCATACTTTCTTGATTACTGTAGCTTTGTAGTATAGTCTGAAGTCAGGGAGCCTGATTCCTCCAACTCCATTTTTCGTTCTCAAGGTTGCTTTGGCTATTCAGGGTCTTTTGTGTTTCCATACAGATTGTGAAATTTTTTGTTCTAGTTCTGTGAAAAATGCCAGTGGTAGTTTGATAGGGATTGCATTGAATCTGTAGATTGCTTTGGGTAGTAGAGCCATTTTCACAATGTTGATTCTTCCAATCCAAGAACATGGTATATCTCTCCATCTATTTGTATCATCTTTAATTTCTTTCATCGGTGTCATAATTTTCTGCATACAGGTCTTTTGTCTCCTTAGGTAGGTTTTTTCCTAGATATTTTATTCTTTTTGTTGCAGTGGTAAATGGGAGTGTTTTCTTGATTTCACTTTCAGATTTTTCATCATTAGTGTATAGGAATGCCAGAGATTTCTGTGCATTAATTTTGTATCCTGCTACATTACCAAATTCATTGATTAGCTCTAGTAGTTTTCTGGTAGCATCTTCGGGATTCTCTATGTATAGTATCATGTCATCTGCAAACAATGACAGCTTTACGTGTTTTCCAGTTGAATTCCTTTTATTTCCTTTTCTTCTCTGATTGCTGTGGCTAAAACTTCCAAAACTATGTTGAATAAGAGTGGTGAGAGACAGTACGGAGGTTCCTTAAAAAACTACAAATAGAACTACCATATGACCCAGCAATCCCACTACTGGGCATATACCCTGAGAAAACCATAATTCAAAAAGAGTCATGTACCAAAATGTTCATCGCAGCTCTATTTACAATAGCCCGGAGATGGAAACAACCTAAGTGTCCATCATCGGATGAATGGATAAAGAAGATGTGGCACATATATACAAGGGAATATTACTCAGCCATAAAAAGAAACGAAATTGAGCTATTTGTGATGAGGTGGATAGACCTAGAGTCTGTCATACAGAGTGAAGTAAGTCAGAAAGAGAAAGACAAATACCATATGCTAACACATATATATGGAATTTAAGAAAAAAAATGTCATGAAGAACCTAGGGGTAAGACAGGAATAAAGACACAGACCTACTAGAGAATGGACTTGAGGATATGCGGAGGGGAAAGGGTAAGCTGTGACAAAGTGAGAGAGAGGCACGGACATATATACACTACCAAACGTAAAATAGATAGCTAGTGGGAAGCAGCTGTATAGCACAGGGAGATCAGCTCGGTGCTTTGTGACCGCCTGGAGGGGTGGGATAGGGAGGGTGGGAGGGAGGAAGACGCAAGAGGGAAGAGATATGGGAACATGTGTATATGTATGGCTGATTCACTTTGTTATGGAGCAGAAACTAACACACCATTGTAAAGCAATTATACTCCAATAAAGATGTAAAAATAAAATAAAATAAAATGACAATCTTTAAAAAAAAAGAATGCTTGGGATGAAGAAGGGAAGATAAATTCAGGAGTCACTGAGAACTTAAAATCAGCAGGACTTTGTGGGGAATTGAATGTAGGGTATGAAGAGGAGAGAGGAGAGGAAGAGTCTGTACTGACTCTTCTGTTGGAATCTTGGGTGTCAGGTGATGCTCCTATAAACTGAGATACAGTACAATGTATAGGAAGAGTAAGTTTCAAAAGAGACAAAGGAAGGATGATGAGTTTAGTTACAGATCAAGTTTAGTTGATAGGACCTGTGGGATATCCAAAGGATAACCAGCAGATGTTTGTGTGTATGGGTCTGAGGTTCTTGAGAGAGGTGACAACTGGAGATAAAATTTGGTAGCCATGATCAACAGGTAGAAGTTAGAACCTTGGAAGTGAACGAAGTCACCCACGCACAGCCTGTAGGCCGCAAAGAGTGGTCCAGGGTTGGGACTCTAGAAAACACCAACATTTTAAGGAGCTGACTGACAGAGATTCCATGTGAAAGACTGGTAAGGAACAGTCTAATATTTAAGGCTTAAATCAAGAAACGTGGTGCCACAGATGTCTAGGGACATGAAGACTGACAGTGGGCCTAATGGATCTTACAATTAGAAGATCACAGGTGACCTTGGGGAGAACATTTATAGTATTGAGATGGAAGGAGATACCAAAGTGCAGCCCAAAGCAGAGACCCTTTTGGAGGCTATCACAGTTCTCAGATGGGACAGTCCCCACATTAGGACTGTTAATAAAGATGGACAGCTCTTCTCAGTCCACAAATTCATACAAAAGTTTCATTAAAAAGTAACTTTAGGGGCTTCCCTGGTGGCGCAGTGGTTGAGAGTCCGCCTGCCGATGCAGGGGACGCAGGTTCGTGCCCCAGTCCAGGAAGATCCCACATGCCGCGGAGCGGCTGGGCCCGTGAGCCATGGCCGCTGAGCCTGTGCGTCCGGAGCCTGTGCTCCACAACGGGAGAGGCCACAACAGTGAGAGGCCCGCGTACCGCAAAAAAAAAAAAAAAAAAGGAGCTTTAGGATGACCCAGAAATTAGTTTCCTTTCCCATACTCTTATGTAAATGTGTTTTAATGCATTTGTCCTGAGTATATTTAATACATGTGAATTAATTGATAAATGTTAATTGATCTAATGAGAAGTTACTATATCCCAATAAACTAAACCTAAATAAAAGTACCTATCAACCCTGATGACTGTTTGAGCCCAGAGGTTAACTGACACATTTTGATTTTGATCAAGATACAAAAATTAATCCTATCTCATGTCATATCTTTGATTTTGACAGAAATAAAGTCTCTTTTGAATACATCATCACTCACCAAAAATTTGGCAACCATGGTGGAGCCATTGAGAGCTATTAATTCTAGGCAGTTTGGCTGGAAAGGGGGAATTGGCCCAGATTGCTGAGGTTTGTAAAGCTACAAGGATATTACAAGAACAGAGTTCCACGTTTGGCAGGCGTCCCCTTCATGACAGAGCTTGGTGCCTGCTCCCTTTACGCATCTTTTGAGACAAAATGTTTAATACACAGAACTGTCTGAGACGATCAGGATTCAGAATGAAAACTTTGGGTTTTGAGTTTCCCACCCTCCCCTGATTTTTTATTCTACCCGTATCTGAAGTTGTTTCTTTAGGATTGTCTCTCCCTATAATGGCCTCGCTGGCCACTCAATCACCACCCCTTAGGAACCCCAGGATCACCACTGGTATCAGTCTTCCCTTGTCCTACTAGAAAAACCCTGACAGTTTTTCAAGTCTGTGTCATCTCATCATTTCTGTCATCTCCTCTTCATTTCCTGTCAGTTTAGGCTCAGGAGTTTCCAATCTAACAGTGGGAAGCATCTGGAAAAGAGTAGGGATGCTTTTGTTTGTTACAATGATGGGGGATGGGGGCTGCTACCAGTGTTCAGTGTCTGAGAGCCAAAGACAATGAGGGTCCTGTGACATTGAGGGAAGTCCAAAATACCAATAGTGCCCCAATAGTTGAGAATGGAGAACCCTTGGTTACTACTCTTGTTAGGACTCTTGCCTTTGCACCTTACTGATCTGGGCACTTCCAATCTCTCCCCTCCCCAATGCTTTCCATACATTGTCACGAGAGATGTAAGACTGCCATATTACACTTCTGAACGGAATTTTCTAATCATTCCAAACTCCTGATCACGTCTCTCCATTACATACCAGATAAAATCCACTCTAATATCCTACAGCCTTCAGGTCCTCGAATAATTCCGCTTTCAACATACTGCCTCCTGTGACTTCACCCATCGTAAGCTTCACCAAATCGAAACTGCTCAGTTTCCACTAAACCTTCTGCTTGTCTCAGTTCAATGCCTTTGTTTACGCTGTTTCCTCTGCCTGGAACTTCCTTCTCTTTCTCCTTTGTCCTTTTACGTTCTACCTGTTCTTCAGTATCAAGCTTTGAGCTTCTTGCATAAAGCCTTTCCTGCTCTTTAAGATTGGAAGTATTGTAATTTCTCAAGTTCCTTAGCATTCGATCTGAAATTTCTCTCTCTGTGTCCTCCCTTTCTGTCCTGTGTTGAAGGGGTGTTCATGTCCCCCAGCATACACAGCATGTTCCTCTAAACTACCTGTGATTTTGAAAATTACTGAAGAATTGATATAAAAACCGAGTTAACACTGTAAATAGACATAAATCTAGAAAGCAGATGTTCTGGGTTTGAGTATTGGCTCCATCATTTACTAACTGTATGTTCTCACTGCACCCATTCCCTCATCTTTAAAATGAGGATGATGACGATGCCTGATTCATAAGATTGTTATGAGATAAAAGGAATAACTATGTGTAGGAGAGTGTCAGGCACATAGGAAGTACTCAGTAAGCATTGGCTTTGATATCTGTTTATAAGACAGAAAATATAGGTGCTTCACAGTATGCATGGGTGTGGATCTCATTTTGACAGAAGATCACCTCTTGTCAAATTGCCTCATCGTTCAGTCTGATCCCTTGGGCCAGTCAGTGAAATGTATGCCGTGCAGTCCTGTAAATGGAAGTGACAGTAAAATTTTCCGCAGCCTTTCACAGCAGTTTTCGCAGGATTCTGATGTAGCGTTGCACATCACTTCCAGTTCTGACCACCCCCAAACCTGCTCCTTGACCTGGTAAATCGGTTGTCACAGGGTCACTAGCTGTAACGAAGGAGAAAGTTCCCAGAACAAGCAAGTTGTCCCTTCTGCCTCCTTAGGGTCCTCCGCTCTTCTCTGACCCCCTCCCCCCCACCCCACCCCCGCACTCCTAATTTGAAACGAACTTAAGAGACAATCAGTGGAATCCCCTTTTACTTACTGTGTTCCATGGATATCCTCCTGTCAGCTTCACCCTTGGACGCATTTGCTATCTAAATAGAAATTGTCAAAAAGGAATTAAACAAATGTCTACTCACAACATCTGAATCTAACAGGACTAGATTCAGAGCTCCAGAGACATGTGTTTATTTACAACATAAATGTGGTACAAAGAACTGTAGACATCACGTGTGATGTACCAGGGTCATCAGTAGCCTGGGAATTTGGTCTCACTAGCTCCTGTCCGGGGTTTGGGGCAAACGTCATGTTTTTCTCCATGTCGTAATGTGAAATTAACGTTGTACTGTCTGTGTGACCTTAAGCACGACTGCTAAGCTCTCTGCGCCCCGGAAATCTGGAAAGTGGGACTCATAACACTGACCTTGCAGGTATGCTATGTTTAATAGGTAACATTTGTAGAGCACTCGCTTTGTGTGCGAATTACGTCTGTTGTTCTCACAGCAACTTAATAAATGAGGTCTTAGTGTTATCACCATTTTCACATGCTAGGGAAGTTAGGAAACTGCAAAAGATTGCACAATTGGTCAACTGCAGAATTATAATTGTATCCTGAGTCTCAGAGGTTAGAGAAAATATAGGAAAGGTACCTGTTGTGTAGTTGTATCAGTTGTCCATTGCCACAATAACGCTACATAATAACCAACCACAAAATCTCAGTAAACATTAATTTTTGTCCATAAGTTTCTGGGTCATCTAGGAGTATCTGCTGACCTGGGCTGAGCTTAGCTGACCTCAGCTTGGCTTGTCATGCATCTGCTGAAGGGTCAGCTCAAGGCTGGCTGGTCTGAGATGGGCTCGGCTGGGTCACCCAGCTGGGTTTCACATGATCTCTCATCCTCCAACAGGCTAGCCCAGTTTTATTCTCATGGCAGAGACAAGGGTCCAAGAGAGAACCAGAACAAGCAAGGCCTCTTGAGAACTGACACAACAGCATCCACTGCAATTTCTTGGCAAAAGAAAGTTGCAAGAACAGTCCAGATTCAGCAGCTGGGGAAATACATTCCACCATATGATGAGAGGAGTGTGAAGTCCATTGAAAAGAGCATGGGTGTGAACAAGGGGGCCACTAGTGCAATCAATCTATGCACTTCAGCTGTTATTATCTCTAATGTATATATATGTATATCATATATATACACACATAATATAGTACAGAGGAAAAAAAGCTAGGAACTTATGAGAGATCCAAATCCAATCCTAAAGAATTTTAAGGAGAAGAATTGACCTCCATAAATGATCCAGTTAAAAAAATGTTTACCGAGGCTATTTTCTGCTCTTCCCTTTCTATGAGCAGCTTTGGTGAAATGCGGCAGTGTGCCTGCAGCTCACCGCCTTCCCCAGGCCTTCACGCCAGGATACTTTTTTTTTTTAACATCTTTATTGGAGTATAATTGCTTTACAGTGGTGTGTTAGTTTCTGCTTTATAACAAAGTGAATCAGTTATACATATACATATGTTCCCATATCTCTTCCCTCTTGTGTCTCCCTCCCTCCCACCCTCCCTATCCCACCCCTCTAGGTGGTCACAGAGCACCGAGCTGATCTCCCTGTGCTATGCGGCTGCTTCCCACTAGCTATCTATTTTACGTTTGGTAGTGTATATATGTCCATGCCACTCTCTCACTTCGTCCCAGCTTACCCTTCCCCCTCTCCATATCCTCAAGTCCATTCTCTAGTAGGTCTGCGTCTTTATTCCCAGCTTGACCCTAGGTTCTTCATGACCATTTTTTTTTTTTATTCCATATGTATGGGTTAGCATACGGTATTTGTTTTTCTCTTTCTGACTTACTTCACTCTGTATGACAGACTCTAGGTCTATCCACCAGGATACTTTTTAAAGGGAAGCACATCTCCATTTGCACTGGGTTTTCTTCCCACAGAGAAATCAGGGATTTGCTAGCCTGGCTGCTTATTAGAATCACCTGCGATTTGTTTCTTAACTACTCCTGCCTGAGCCCTACCCACAGGCGTTCAGATTGTTTGAGGTTGGAGCCTCAGCGCTGGTTTGTTCAAAAGCTCTGCAGGCCGTTTTAGTGAGTAGCCGAGATTGAGGACCCCCGACTCCAGGGTGGGGTGGGGTGTGTCTGAGAAAGGGGCCCTGAGCCTCTTCTCTCTCCTCCCCTCCACACCCACGGCCGTGTTCCACCACGTGTGGCCTGGGGGCCTACTGGTGGAGCATGCAGTGCAGCACCCAAGTGGATTCCGACTGCACTGCCCTGCAGAGGCCTGACCCTGCTAAGAGGTGCCACCTCCGTCCCTGCGCTGGCTGGAAAGTGGGAAACTGGAGCAAGGTAACTGACCAGGCTCAACAGTGTTGGGGGTGTCGGGGGGCGGGGAGGGACTTATACGAGCGTCATTTGCTAAAGCAGGTTTCCTTCCTCCCTTCCTGACTCCTTTCTGCCCTTTGCTTTGATAAACTGGTGAATGCGTAAATCAAGTGTTACCATAGGCCTGCTTCAAGTTCCACAATAGCCTGAGAACAAGCAGAGTTTTCAGTAGCCCACATGTTTTCATCTGCCTGTCTTCCCTTACCAGATAAACTGAGAAAAAAAAAATTTAATTTGTGTCATTAATTGCTTGTCCAGCATGCAACACTATTTCTAAATTGCTTAAATTTAGCATTATAATTAATAATGATACATTAGCACAAGTGTAATTAAATCATCGTTCAGCAGCTGCTCACAAAGCAAGTATAACATTGAATCTGCCACACTCAAAATGAAAAGAAAACGGAAACATAAAGACACATTTGGTCTTTAAAAGTGTATGTCCTATATTGATCTTTCTGAAGATCAATTTTCCTGTCCTTGCTAATCTAGCTGTGGTTACTCATTTTTCTGTGCTGCCTGCATATTCCCTCGTGAAAGGCTTTATCAGGTTTTAGGATTAGTCAGGCTTGGTTCTTCTGGGCACCAATCGGGCCCAAACTGCCTGTCACCCTGATGGGGCTGAGCCAGCCCCTGGGGGATACAGATGCAGCCAGGTCGTAGAGACATTGGTCAGAGGTGGGGTTAAGAGCTGCTTGGCAGAAGGGGTGAGAGGTATGAGCTGTGCATACACCTTCTGTTTGTGAAGCGCACCCACCTGTAAGACACCCTGCAGGCTCCTGTCTTCTCTCTGGGGAGCCAGTTTCCCTTGATGGCCTTGACACAGAAGGGAAAGGAGCTACCCAGAAATTTGGGGAGGCTGGCATCCCCTCTAGATGGTTATCGCCCTCATCTTGTAGAAAGCTCACGTCCCCAGACAAGCAGGGCCATGAGGTGTCCCACTGGACGTCTCTGGTTCTCTCGGCAGACTTATCTGACAGACAGGAGTGTGGAATGTCATTTATCTGCATTAGGCCCCTTTTCCCAAAGAAAGGCTCTGATCTTTGGCAAGAGAGAGAAAGTAGTGCGACTCCCTGAGAAAATCACCACGCATTTCTTTGATGCCTGCCAACCTCCCTTTTTCTGTTTTCATACCATTTTTCTTTCAAGAACAAATGCTGGTTCTTTTTTCTTTCTCTTCCAACTCATAACAAACTCAAGATCAAAAAAGAACTAAATGCCTGGCTACAAGTTCTCTTCCATATCCAGAAGAATCTCAGGCAACATTTCTATCCCTGACCTTGCCAAATGTTGACCAAGTCCTGAAGTTCCACTTTCCCATCACTGGGACTAATCCTTTCCTTGGAAATTACATGGCTCATAGAAAGGACAGGTGTGTGAAATAGCTCACACTTTTAAAAAGGTCCCTCCACTGTAAAATTCTAGGAATTCTAGCTGATATAAAAGCCTGAATGGGAGATCCGGTAGCTCTTCTCTGGGGTCAGACCCCCTAAAGAAAGCCGTGCTCTGCCAGCTCATCCCTTCCGTGTCTGTCTCTGGGTCTCTTCTCTCTCATGGCCGGGAGGCTTGTTAACCCCTGTAGACTCCTGGTGTTTTGCAGAAGCTGTCTCTGACACATCACCGAGTTCTTCCAGAATGTGATAACCACCCATCTAAACTCAAACCCTCAAAGTTACTCCATTCCTATCAGTAAGGAAAATATCTCCTCTCTCAGAATAATAGGTAAACCTTATGTCAAAGACACTATTTAACTACTGATAGTCAATTGCCCTGACTTCTGTTTTTTCTATCATTGGGGACATTGAATACATGACTTCCATTTTTCCTAGGAATGTTGATTTAAATTTTATCTTAAATTTTTGGTGACTGAACGATACAGCTTTTTGACTACCACGTTATTAACCAGTTCATATGCATGTCTAAAGTCTAAATCATACACTAGGAAATATTTGAAGGCCTCCTTAGTTTCACTATTCTATCGGGACTCTTAAACTTATTCAGTGGCCAACCTCCAAACCCTAGAGTAGGAAAATAGACCCCCTGGTTTTGCCTTTAAATATCCAGAGGGTTTAGATTCTGCCAACTTGATGGTTTACCTTTTCACAAATACTTTCTCCAAGGGAAGAATTCTAATTTGATCATGAATCTTTCTGCATTATCCCACTGACAACTACCCCAGACCCAGAGGCACTTTAATCTTGTAGGACTAAGGGTATTCTGCAGCCTCACTTGAACCCGCAGGGATCACACCAGAGGCCCCGGGTTACACATCAGCAACTCCCCACTGCTGTGTGTGCTGTCTGAATTGTAGCTGTTTTACTGGCTTCTGTTTCCAGCACCACTCATCTCCATGATGGAGCCCTGATGCAACTGCTATGGACATTTTCTCATACATGTGGCAGTACAATGAGCCTGTACATTCAGATCTTTACCTTTAAAAAGTCTAGAAGTTGGTTTTTTTTTTTTGGAATGGCTTTCTTCTTCTTCATGCATTGATCTGTCTGAAACAAATTCCAGGTCATAGTCCTGAAGTTTGTCCCAGAGGTGTACTTGAGAAAACGTAGTTCTGCAGAATTGAATTCTGGAAGCAGCACTGGGCCTGGGATCAGACACGTCTGGGTTGGCAGCTCCACTTTGTCACCAGCATAGAACGCTGGTCCTTTCTTCCAACCTCTTAGGAGCTTTAGTTTTCTCACCTCTGAGAAATGAAGTGGATCCTACGGCGTCTACTAATCTCATAAAGTTGTACAGATCAAAAGAGTGTGTGTGCAATGACTTTGTAAATGGTAAAAGACTGTTCAAATGAAGCCTTGGGCAAACTTTGGGCTCTGGATAAAGGTTAGGAGTAGTTCTCAGGCATTTGCTAACTTCTGGCTTCCTGGACTTGAGGCAGGGGTGTTGTGGAAAGGTGGCAGTGGGGTAAGTCCTGTCCATCCATCAGGTCTCCACTCCCCAGGACTAAGCAGACAAGGTGAACCATGAGCTTTGGAGGACTTGACCTACCTTGCATCCTGGCACTCGCCAAATATCACCAAGTGCCCGATACCACACAAGAATTTTAGGTAAACAATTTTATTTTTATCCAATAAACGACCTTCTTTATAATTCCCACTGAGGAAATGAAGGCTTGGAGGGTTTAACTCACTAACACATGATCAGCTAGTACTAATACTCTCAGTTCTGAGAAACCGTCAACCGGGGGACAAGTCATCAATTTAATGACAGCCTTTCAGAAGGAAAGGAAACACTACACAATAAATGTGTACATCAGTTGTAAGACACATGCCAATTTCAGAACATTAAAATTTGCATAAGAAAAAAAGTGATTCTTGTGCTGGAAGAAATGCTGTAAGTGACAAAGATGAACTTGAAAAACCTTCACCTGAGTTTGACACCAAAGCTATGCATCCTCACAGCCCCGCACACTTCCTGATTGAACATTTTGCCTGTACCTCTTGCAGTTTTGTAAACTTTATTATCTTTCTTAGAATGATAATAACTTTTTGTAGTTACGTCTAACAGATCTTGATTATTTCTGAAATGAATCAAAGATTTTTACGTTTTCTTGGAATGCTCTGTCTTCCCACCTAGGTAGTGTTGCAATTTTATTTTAGCAGTAGCTGACCTTATTACCTGTAGCTTTTTTTGGAAAATAAAAGTGGCAGCCTTTTCTTATGGCCTTGAGTTTCATAATATTCAGTGCTACATTTTTTTTAGGTCTGAACTTTTACAAATGAATAAAATAGGGAAAG